TTTCGCAGCATGAGAGCACTAGCTTTGTTAATTTTATTTGAAGTTTCTTTTTTAATTACGTTCTATTCAGTTTTATTTAACATAACAAATATTTCACTTTTCACCGAAGTAGCAACATCTGGTGCAGACAACCCAACCACAAAATGTTAATACCTTTCAAAAACAGTTTATTGCCATTTTACATTTAAGGTTCTAGTTCTATAAGGTCACTTTAAAGAACAAAGAGCAACTTAGTGTATAGTGTTTAAAAATACTCTCTGAATGAAACTCCCCTAGTTTAGTTTCTTTATCGAGTGTTAAAAACAGCTGAGAACTCGTTACTTGGACACTTTTATAATAACTTCAAATTTAAACGAACGACTTTGGTACTACAGACCTCATAGACACGCTATATTTACATTGTATGGGCTATTTTGTTATGTTAATTAACCTCGATAGAAAGAACATGATTTGTTAAATTGTACCAGAAAACTTTATGAAATCTCAGAAACAGAGCAATTCGTGTTTTCTTTAACGACCAAAAGGTTGAAACATTAACGATGAAAATCTGTGGATAGTGTTTGTTCTCAGGATTAAACACATTCCGAACTAGTCGATACAGGTTATATCCGAGTTTTGGGAATGTTTAATCATGAAATTAGTATATTTCCTTTGTTTGAGACTTAAATAGATATTATGTTAAACTTATGAAACATTTGCTTGTTGAAAATATGACTTATTTCGTAATTATTGACACTATCGAACTATACGTAAATTTTCAAACGATAATTATTGAAGATATGTTATAATTAATATAATTTAAAACGTTAAAGTGTGGCAGGCGTTACGAATTATATTTAAGCACATTCTTTGCACACACACACACACACAGTGGCACAACGGAAAGTCTCACCACCAGTGGATTTTAAAACTTATAACTCTAAAATCTAGGTTTCGATACCGGTAGTGGGTACAGCTTAGATAGCCCAGAATGTAGTTTGCGTTTAACAACAAACAAACAAGAGCACAATATTTTACTTTCATGCGACATTTCTATTGAGTTTTTAATTAAATATAGCTGTTATAACAAACATACACCAATCAAAAACGCTCTTAAACCTTCTGTAGATTCTATAGTAAACGAATACAGAATTTTAATGATTCAAATCATATATTTTAACAAGTAGCATACAGTAATAAAAATACAATATTCTACCTGATCAGTATATGATAAACATGTAGTTTGGTCTTGATTTTTAATTTCTACTTATTACAAAGTGAGTATTATATATTTTAGTAAACCTCTGTCGTTCTGCTCGTTGTGTAAATATTTGATACCTTATTATGAAACACTGTCATCTCGTTAGAAATTAGCACAATACACATAGCTAACGCGTGCTCGCGATGAAGTGACGTAACAAATTTATTTGTTCGTATTAAAAAACACGTTTAACTCAAAGAGTACGGAAAGTTTTGGCTTGATAATGTTATTGTAAAGACATGAAATTAAATATTGTACACTTTGATAAAGTAACTTCGTTTAGCCTCATGAAAAAGGATATTTTATGAAAAGGTGTGTTTTTGATTCACAAGGAATTATAGTATGTCCTGAAATTAGTTTAAAATAGTAATGTTTTAGGCTAAATTTTGAATATTTTAATGTTTTGTTATCTCGAGGAAGTATTTTAGATGATTCTGTGAAGATTAGAGGAATCATAAAAGTTTCGTTTAGTACCTAAAACCTATTGTAGTATAAAAATCTCAGACTGAGTGAGTTAGAACCAATTAATTAGTTCAGTATCAGTTAAATAGTTTTAGTGAGTTACACAATAAGAATTGATGAGCCTGTTGGTCAGCATTCGAATTTAGAATATTCAGTCGGCGTGTTTGTTATCGATAGACTAGCGAGGAAATTTTGCAAGTAAATTATTGATTATGTTTATTTGTGAGTTAAGCGTACATTAATTTCGGCATTGCTGTTGAAATGTTTTTGTTAAGTTAGGCCTACCAACGAACATAGTCTATATAAAACGTTATTAAAAAAATTAATTAATTCATTATCGTTAAGTGGTCTGGATTTCGCGTCACTTTTACCAGATAATCCAAAAGAACTCGCCTAACGATAGAACACGTTATAACAGTAGCCCCATAGTGACTCAGTCTGAAGGCTTAGAACGCTAAATACTGGGTTCGATACACGTGATGAGCAGATCACAGGATAGCCCATTGTGTAGCTTTGTGTTTAACAACAAATAAATATAATGCAATACATTTTCCACAAAATTGTATTTCGTTGGCTTTAAAATATGTCCAAAGAAGATAAATATTTGATAAAAATATAATAGCTTTTATCTTTATTAAATTATTTTAGTTGAATTTCACATAATGTTGAAATTTGAAAATAGATATTTACTTGTATGTTGTTAAGCACAAAACTACAACATAGGCTGACTGAGCTCTGTTAACCGCTTGTATTGAAAACAAATTTTAATTGTGTTTTATCTGTAAATCAGGAGGATGTAGTAGAAAGGAGCTTCTGGTTATTCTTATATTGAATTTGTGTGAACTGGACATTATTTTAGTACATTGATAAAATTTGATCGCCAAGTATACAGGATGTCCAAAAAGTCTGGAATCCAAAATCCAAAAAGTCTGGATTCGCAGCTTTTCTTAATTTCAGATACTTGAATGATTAGGGCTTAATCAAAGAATGAGAAGTTCGAGTTAATCCAAACTTGTTTTGAATTACAAGGGCAGCACGTGAGTGGAACATATTTTGTAAAATTCGTTGAAGTGCCTACGGTTCCAGACTTTTCACACACTCTGTAAATTCAATTTAAGTACGATTTTTGGTCTTTATATTTGTTCCCTGTTCAAAATTACCAGTTAAGTATATAATTTATTTCAACAATTTTCCCTCGGAGAGTGGTAGTTCACTCAGTTCTGCTAGTATTTCAGTACAACTTAGATGTTACGTCCAAAGAAAAATGATGGCTACGGTTCCAGACTTTTCACACACACTGTAAATTCAATTAAGTACGATTTTTTGGTCTTTATATTTGTTCCCTGTTTAAAATTGCCAGTTAAGTATATAATTTATTTCAACAATTTTCCCTCGGAGAGTGTTAGTTCACTCAGTTCTGCTAGTATTTCAGTACAACTTAGATGTTACGTCCAAAGAAAAATGATGCGACGTTTAAGCCATTATAACTTGCTCTCTCTCTCTCTACTTGATTCATGGGAAAGAAACACAAAGGAATCGAACTCTGCAAATGCGATTTGAAGATGTGAGAAAAGATAGATCTTCAACTCGTGGTTTTGTTTTCTCTCCGCAGTTGTTTAGGGTAAAAGGACCAATTATTCAGATTATTTATAGTGTTCTATAAATAGAACACAGTAGGTAATGTATTTTTTCAGTCCGTGAAATTCAGTTGTTGTTGTTGTTGTATTTTTTGGCCTCTCTCTAAGCTCAATAACTCTTAAAGCACTCAGTACTTTAGTAACACAGATTTTAAATTTAGTGTTTTGGTCACTTGCCCTCAAGTGAAATAAGAAACAATAAAGAATATTGTGAAAGGGTACATTGGAAAACTTTTAAAAATTAAGATTTCAAACTTTAGAATATTCTCATTTTATTATTGACAAAGAGCATTAGTAGCCATAAGCATGCACAATGTAAGAACATTGTTTGAAACATTTGGGCGAACAAAAACAGATCCTGAAAAAAAACATCATTTCACTAAGTTATCGATTACCTAACCTTATTTCATTTACTTAAAACTAAACAGTGGTAATTTTACGGAATTACAATGAAAAAATTCTGGGCTCAATGTCGAACGTGGAATTTTTATCTTCCTTCCTTTTCTTTCTTTCTTTTTAGTTTTTTTTTTGTTGTTGTTGTTGTTGTTTTATTCTTTTTTTGGTAGGTTTTCAAATTAGTAGTCGATATTTTTTAACCGATTAGGGGATAGGCCTACAATTTGTGCGAAGTAACAAATTAATGAATGCTGTGTAGCTTTGAATGAGAAATGGAAATTAACAACTGAAATGAACGTGTCAACCTTTCTAATGAAGCTATGAATGCAAGTAAGAATGCTGGATCCTTTCCTGATGTCAGCACAGAATCGTGAGTTTGAAAACTACGAGGAAACATTTTACCTTATTGAAGATGCAACGACCGAAGTTTTGCCCTCAAAATTTAGTCATTACATAACAGAACTTTCTCCAGACAATACTAGTCTGCATTCCATCTGAAGTGCAGTAAAATGTCCGAAAATACACTTAAACAGCAAATAGTGATATATATTAATCTAACCAAATTAGTGTAGTAAACTGTTTTTATTTTATTAACCAACCAAACGATAAAACAAACTGGTAACAAATTTAGATTTTCTTTTCTCTGAAAACTTTTAATTAATTGTACTTAACCTTTTTTTTTTTCAGACTGAGAGAGTGATCATCTTAAAATACTTGGTTGGTGTTTAAGAATTAAAATGTTGATTTTTTGAAGACACTGCAAACTGTTGAAAAAACCAGACCGGTAGACTCTTTTGTACCGAACTTCTACCTTTTTTCACACTGACAGGGTAGTTAATTGTACTTTGTGTTTAAGCATTTTAAATTTTTTTTCTGAATAAAGCCCGATTTCGACCCCGACTGTTAATTCTTTCTTGATTATACATAACAAGATTTCACCCGAATTCGCTCCCTTTTTGGACTAAAAAATTATATTCAATTTAAAAACATTATTGACTCAAATTTAGAAGAAATAAAATCAGAACCCCTAGTTTTGGTGATAGAGGAATGTATTGTCTAAAACAACTCTTTATAAATACCGTGCAATGAAGCAAAATGAAAGTTATTTATACTTTCTAACATTTGTAATGAAAGTTACATTAAAAAACCTTTATGGGTCTGTACGGTAATAATCACTATAATTTCAATAAATAATTATAAATTATATTTCTTAAGTTCAACGCCAGGTGTCGAGGCCTCAACCACACGTAATATAGTTATGTGGCCTCAACGCGATAGTTTATAAACATCGTAAAGTATATTAATCATGCGATTTACGTACTACGAAAGTAAGTTTATCTTCTTATTCAGGCGGACACCAAAATTTGAAAAGGTTGTAGAAAATATTTTTATTTTTACAAATGCTTTAGGTCAGTGTTACGTTTTATTATCCAACTTAACCTTATATTTTTATTGTTTTCCTACTTTATTTTTAGAGTTGCTAGTGTCAAATTAATTACTCTTTCGTTGTATATGCATCACACATAATAACTAAATAAGCATTGCATCATCTAGCCCAATGGTGCTTTCTATTAGTATTACCTTTTAACGATTGTAGCATATTTCCCATTATTAAAGAATGAAAGTCCTGGTAGTCATAATACAGATAGTTATTATGCTGTTTAAATAAACTTTATGCCCATCCGTTTGTTGCCACTGGATGCCAGAGGTGGTCATGGTAGTGACAGTAGCGGCAAGCATAATTCAGACAACCCTCAATAGATCATCAGGTATAATTCACACTCTCATACTGCCACGTGGTTCATTCATGCAAAACTGTTCATACAGGTATTTGGTAACTAGTTAATACTACATTAAAATGAAATGATAACTCACACCTGCAGTGAATTTTCAGTATTTATGGCCACATTTGCTCTTTGATTCATAAATGTCAAATTCCAATCATATATCAGGAGCCGGATATCTGACCAACATTACTAATTGTTCCATTCCTAATATAGACCTATGTACAATCTGTCATGGCTTCAAAGTATTGTGAATATCACAATCAACCCCACCAGACTAAAGTGTTGTGAAAAGGTTTAATTGTTATGAACAGTCAACAACTATCACATAATTGTAATGAAGGCCTCAAAATGCAGGGCAAAATTGCATTAAAAATGCCAGGGAGGTTTAATCCTTAGAACCATCTCAATGTAAGTACAATGTACTCTTTAATAAAAACTATAACAAACCATTTGATAAGCTGATAACCCACACTATATAAGGGGAAAAAAGCACATGTATAACTACCTAACAAAGACTTCTCTCAAGAATTATTGAAACTACATAATAATTCATTGTAATGGAATGAGTACTTCATAATCACTGCCTCATTCAGATTTTTCTTGAATTTTTTTTATTATTGTTATCATTAAATAATATAAATAAATAGTTAATAACGTACAATTGTCTTTCTTTTGTTGTTGTTTTTCCTTATTTCTGTAATTATGGAGTTTCACCAAGTACTGACAGTTTCAAGTATTAATTAAATAATTAATTCACAGCTCTTTTTCACAGAATAATTGCTTGTGTGACAATGGGACAGTCTAACAGTTTAGACCATCAGGGGATCCCTGTTAGTGAAATAAAGAATGAAGTGTTGAAGCATGCAGCAGTATTGACGGAAATGGCTGTGTTATCGTATGATAATTTTCTACAAATGGTTAAGGAACTAAACAGAATGTAAGTCTAGTAGTTGATATAAAACTGATGCCAGTAGAAGTTGATGAAGTGATAGGTGTAGTTTTCTGTGAGAAGAGTTTGTCTTGCTGGGAAGAAGATAAAAGTTTTTTAAGTGTGTTTTATACATATATTTGTATGTATGTGAAAACTTTGACTTTTGGTAAAAACTGCATGATATTATTAACAGTTATCAAATATTTTAGGCTCTGGAAGCTATTTTAAAATGTTGTTGATTGAAGACTAAGGTTTTTCTTAACCTTGTAAAGCACTAGTGAGACTGTGGTACGCAGCTATCATATCTCATTCTCCTATATTATATTTATATCATACACAGTTTTAATATTTTTATAGAGCTTTAAATCATAAATTTTTAAATCCATTGAGGTTGTGTGCAAACTTAGCCTCAGGTGTTACTTTTTTGTAGCCATACTCGGTCAATGAAGCTAAGTACTGTGTACTGCCTTATGTATGTAGTACTGCTCTCTGACAGTCACGTGGGATGGAGGTGCTTCTGGATACTCCTGACCTAACTTTGTGGTTCAGCAGAATGAGAACTGTAAGAACAACTTTAACATTTTCCACCAGATTTGTTTCAATCTTGGTAGAGTCAAGACTTGCTGAAGCCTCATCCTTGTTTTCTTGTTTATTTTAAGAACTGCTAACCTCACACATGTACTTTAATCAGCACTTCAGCATTGACAACCATCCAACTGCCTTAAATAATTGGATTTCATTTATAGATACAGTTCTTGTTATTTAAATACAATTTTATCTATTTATGAAAACTTCCCAACAATGCAATAATTCCATAACTAGGTGGTAAGTTATTTTTTAGTTTCTTGTCTTGCTCATTCCACCTACATCAGATCACTATACCTGTTCTTCCATGAATTAGGTTTGTGAAAATTAGGTAACTGTTTAACCTTGAACTACCACAATGTCTCATTTTAGCCTTGTTACACAGGAGTAGACAAATGGACAGTGTACAGTAGACAAATGGGCAGTGTACAGTGGACAAATGGGCAGTGTACAGTTGACAAATGGGCAGTGTACAGTGGACAAATGGGCAGTGTACAGTAGACAAATGGGCAGTGTACAGTGGTCAAATGGGCTGGTAGAAGTAAATTTGGTGTGCAAAGAAATTGAATTATGAAGAAAGAGAAGTTTAAAAGTTATTTTTCTCTGTATCATAGAGTAACAGAAATAGCTTGAATTTAATGTTTGAAATTGTAAGTGGATTAAAACTTAAATTGACTACCTGTTGGAGGTCTGGCTATGATGGAATGATGATGTTTGTATGGGAACTTTGGAAAAACCCAAACCCAGAATCATAGGCATCTAACCAGGGGCAGACAGGGCGCGTGCCACCCCACTTGGAATACTTGTTTAGCAAAAAATTTCCTGCCAATTCTTCCCTACACTTAACCCCTCCCCCACTTTTAGCAGTTAGATGCAAGTGTCCAGAACTGTTCTTTGAAAGAGTTACTTTTATGTAAGAGTTGTTAAATTAGGAAATGACATGTGTGATGATGAAGGAGTGACAAACTAGGGGAATGGCTTGTCTGATGATGTAGGAGTGACAAACTAAGGGAATGGCATGTGTGATGAGGTAGGAGTGTCAAACTAGGGGAATGGCTTGTCTGATGATGTAGGAGTGACAAACTAGGGGAATGGCTTGTCTGATGATGTAGGAGTGTCAAACTAAGGGAATGGCATGGTTGATGATGTAGGGGGTGACAAACTAAGGGAATGGCTTGTCTGATGATGTAGGAGTGACAAACTATGGGAATAGCATGCCTGATGATGTGGTTTGTGACAAACTAGGGGAATGGCATGGTTGATGATGTATTAGTGACAAACTAGGGGAATGGCTTGTCTGATGATGTAGGAGTTGACAAACTAGGGGAATGGCATGTGTGATGATGTATTAGTGACAAACTAGGGGAATGGCTTGTCTGATGATGTAGGAGTGACAAACTAGGGGAATGGCTTGTCTGATGATGTAGGAGTGACAAACTAAGGGAATGGCTTGTCTGATGATGTAGGAGTGACAAACTATGGGAATAGCATGCCTGATGATGTGGTTTGTGTGTCAGTTGGCCTACTGTCACTTTGCTTATTCTTGTTAGTTAATATAAAGTGATTACGAAACTTGTATGTAAGGAATATTGTGTTTGCTGAGATTCACTTTGAATCTTTTTGTGTTTAAATATGATGTGAAGTAATTTATTTCAAGGTATGTATTCCTTTAAATATATTAGTCCTCTAACAGTTTGTCATAAAATAATTGTTACTTGTGGCATTATTATTTAGAAAAGGCAGAAAATATTAATTAAATAACAATAAAGGAAGTTACAGAAGATTCAAGAAGTTGTAGCTCTGACTTTATAAAGTTAGGGTTACTGATAATTGATACTTAGTAAGGAATGACTACTGTGTATCAATGGGATAATATCAGTTTTCCCAACTTTGATTGTCAGCGGAGACCAGCATAATCACATATGCGATTTTTATGGACCATGAATTATACAAGAACAAATAAAACATAATACAATGAAAGACCTTTGGTTTTTATAATTAAACTTACTGTTTCTGACTATTTCTAAAGTTTTGCATGGGTGAGTAATTGGAAACCAATGGGTTATGTCACAGGTTTCATTCAGTGTAATTGTTTTTTGTTTTTTTCAAATTCATACCTTATACATTTGAGACGTGTGCCTGTGATTAAACAACTTATACTTAATATCAAAAATTATCTTAAATGTAAAATGATCAAACTTTTGCAGACAGAATTTCCTGTTGTATATATATTTATTTATAATTTCACCCAAGTGTTGAAAAATCACTGCACTTCTTAAACAAGTAAAGTCAGACATACAACAAATCAGAATGAGTACATGATCTCTAGCCTAACATACAAGTAAAGTCAGACATACAACAAATCAGAATGAGTACATGATCTCTAGCCTAACATACAAGTAAAGTCAGACATACAACAAATCAGAATGAGTACATGATCTCTAGCCTAACATTTTAATCCTTTAATGTAGGAAGCACTATTTTCCCTATGCTGGTTAATTCTAAATAGTAAAATCAAAATTCTATGCAACAACACTAAAATAACCTTTAATTACAACAGTTGGTAAATATATATATATATACATATAGTTGCTGTTTGAATTGAAAACTTGATAAGATATTTCTTAACTTTCACAGTTTTGAATTTGTTTATTGCTCATTTGTATGTCATCATGATGAGTTTTTTGAATACCTTTATGTTAGAAAATTGCTGTTATTCGTTAGTAGTAACAGATATAAATTTAATCAATGAAAAAAATTAACATTATTAAAAATTAATAATGTGATTAGAAGTCTTTGGTAGCATTTTTTTTTTCTATATGCCATACAGTATGTCTGTTTAAAGTTTTAATACATTAACGGATGTACGATTTTCTATATACCATACAGTATGTCTGTTTAAAGTTTTAATACATTAACGGACGTACGATTTTCTTTTAGTATACCATACAGTATGTCTGTTTAAAGGTTTAATACATTAACGAATGTACGATTTTCTTTTAGATCAGTGTCTCTTCCGGATAAAAGTGGAAAAAAACTTGTTTTTCTTGTGAAGAAAAGATCAGATGCATCAATATTTTGGAAGAGTACAGTGCGAATAGCTTGTGTAAGGGTAAGTGTCATCGATATACAGCTCTCTCCAACTTGGTGGAATTTATTGCCTTGATTATGTATGTCATTTTGTTTATTTTTCTCAGTTGTCTAACCAAATTTGCTGAGTAATCCTTTTCAAATGCCAGATATTTATTATTAATGTTGTCAGACTGTTATATTAAACATAGATGTAATCATGGTCGTCTCAGTGAAGCTTAGCAAATGACCTATAGATGGAAAAAGAGTGTATCACATAATTGAGGGTAGGGGGTATGAGAAAGAAGCATTGTTGAAGACTGTATTGTTTTAACCCTTTAACTGCACAATTAAATTTCAGGCTGATTTCCAAAAAGTGTCAATTATCCACCAAAAATAAAAGTCTTAATTTGATCGTTTGTATTACTTTTTCAATATTGAAAGATGCTGTGTTTTCTATATGTGATAGAAATATTCCTTGTAAACCATACTGGATAGTGAAACATAATGATTTAAACAAAATATTGAGGAAAATTAGAAGAAAAGTGTTCTCCAGTAAATGGCATAAGTATAGGCAAAACTAAGTCAATAAGAGGCCGAAATCC